GCTGACTTGGCCAGCAAGATCTTGCTCGCTGAAGGCTGAGTTGTAAAGAGCTTAGCCCAACTCTCTGATCGCAGCATGAGCTCCCACAGAGCAAGGGTGGGAGACTGGGAGACCTGCCGAGGCAGGCTCCTGCTGCACAATGGCCAGCAGGCTCCATGAAGCTGTTTGCACTGATCCCAGCCCCCACTTTCAGGGGGAACTCCCCTCCAGGAGGACATGGCACAGTGGGAGCTGGATATCTGTCCTTACTTCCTAACAGTGCCATGGAAAGTAGGTGGCTTTGCCCCTGGTGAAGTTTTCTGTTGGGGTGAACTGGCCTCCCACATTCCACTGCTCTCTACCGGGTGTAATCAAAAAAACCTCAGCTGTGTGTCATAGACCCTGTGCCACCATGGGCCAATGGAGATTCTTCTGTAGCTCAAGGGGCATGTTTGGAGCAGGAGCGGCGTTGAAGCTTAGCGTGCCCGCTGCATGTAGCCCAGTGACACAGGGCCCTAGGCAGCTGCAGTCTATTGTGGATGTGGACAGGCACAGCAGGGATGTGCCCATGCCCTTGGGCACTTCTGTGGCCTCCTCCCTTTTCTCTTGGGTGTGAGTTACAGCGTTTGTTCTCAGGAGATCGGCGTAGGATGATTAAACCGCAGCGAGGCGGAATTTGGGCTGCAAGCCACCTGGTATCTAGCTTACACATCAGTGAAGAGGGAGCTGTGTGCAGATAACAGGAAATAGGACACACATTTGGTTAGGAAAAAAACACCCAACCCAGAGCTGTAGCTGGCCTCAGAGGGTGCCGGGGGCGTTGCCTGAACCACATGGCACTTCCTACTCCTGGTGCCAGTGAGACACTGAAACAGCGAGCTGAGGGCAAGTAGCTGCTGGAGCCCTGGGGAGCTCCTCAGGGCTCTTCCTGCTGGTTTGCTTAGGGACCCCGACTCCCCAGAGGGCTGGGGGAGGGGATCATAGATTCATAGACACTAAGGTCAGAAGGGACCATTATGATCATCTAGTCTGACCTCCTGCACAAGGGGGGATTAGCCTGCAGCCTTGAGGAAAACCCTCTTGTGTTGGATTTAGCACTGGGGAAGGGGCCCAGGGTTGCTAATTTGCGGCCGCAGTGCTGCCCTGACCTGGCAGAGCACCCTATAGCGGCGACAGGGGAGACTGGCATTTTGTCTCCTCAAGGAGTCGAGGGTCTAGAGGAAGAGAAAGGCATTGAGGGCACTGTCCTCTCGTGCCACACAGGAGCAGATGAATCAGGCCAGCAGGGCCTGGGGAATTCTAGGGTTTCCTCTGTTGAAGAGATTTCAACCTAAACAGCAGGTCCAGGTCATGCCTCGGTTGCCCCGAGCAACCCCAAGGGGGGAGGGAGGGTGACTGGTTTGGGGGGAGGGAGTCCAATGTTCAGATTAGCCCACCCATGCCACAGTCCCATGACGACCAGGGCCTTGCAATTCCCAGCAGTCTGTGCCCATGTGGCCGCCAGCATCCGCCAGTTCAGGGGCCAGAGCAATGAACCAGGAAGCAGGAGACTTGGGTTCTATTTTTGCCTCTGCTGTGTGACCTTGGGGAAGTCACAGCCCTGCTCTGTGCCTCAGTTTCCCCTTCCACCCTTTGTCTGTGGAGACTGTGCACTCTTCTGGGCAGGGGCTGTCTCTTACTATGTGTTTGCATAGCACCTAGCACAATGGGGCCCTGATCTCCGGCTGCTATTGTCACACAGATAATGACATGGAGCCCCGTCAGGGGTCTGCTGGGGGCTGCTCTGGAGGGCAACAGAGAACCAGCCCCTATATGTGGCACACACCTGCTCTCCTTTCCTTTTCTGTGGCAGTGGCATGTCAGTGAGGGCAGCAGGGGCAGAGTTCGGGGAGGGCGAAAAGGCTGCCAGTACCAGTGAGTGGGTGGCAGTTTCAGGATGAGTCACTGGGGTCTCGAATGAGCCTGGCATCCTGTTTGCAGTCAGATTGTGACAAGACACAGACGGTGGCACCAAGCACCACATTGAGTCAGGAGCCCGCCAGCCTGCACCCGCACAGGCCTGTTGGGTCTGGGGCGGGGACTTTGGGCAAGGACATAGGAGGCTGGCTGGAGCCCACCGGCCTGCGCCCACACAGAATTTCTGTGGCTGGGCAGGTGCCCTGGGGCAAGGCCATGCAGGGGTGGACCCAGATTTCTTATGAATCCCCTAACAGGGAACCGCTGCTTAAAGTGGCGGAAGGATCTACCATGCCCTGGGTGTAGCCACGGTAATAAGACAGCACTTAAAGTGTGGCCCTGAGCTCCCCAGCTCAGCTTTGACATTTCTTTGGCTTGGTTTGTGAACCCTTGTGACCCTCACCCCTTAGGCACTGCAGGAGCCACATGAATCAAGCAGAAAAGCAGCATTGCAGAGGGAGGGATAGCTCAGTGGTTTGAGCTTTGGCCTGCTAAACCCAAAGTTGTGAGTTCAATCCTTGAGGGGGCCATTTAGGGATATGGGGCAAAAATTGGGGATTGGTCCTGCTTTGAGCAGGGGGTTGGACTAGATGACCTCCTGAGGTCCCTCCCAACCCTGATGTTTTATGATTCATTGCTCACAAGATTTTCATCCCCCCAAAATCTTCACTCCAGATGAAAAACACCTGCTGCCCTGTGGGAAGCTTCACAGCTATCGTATCCCACCGCTAATATTTAAACCCGACGCTTCTACACAAAACCACCCTTCCTGGTTCATTCACAACCTCCTTCGCCCTGGGGTTTGTTTTTTTGTTGTTGTTTGTTTTAAAACGAACAGCTGTTGAAAGTTGAAACAAAATTTGTTGGTGTCATTTCTAAACGGCATTTTGAAATCTCCTCCAGCATATTTGAAACTTGAGATCAGGGTTGACAGTTCCATGGGGGAAAAAACGTTGGTTTTAATGGAATTGTACATTCAGGTGGGAAATCCTTCTGCCGCTGCAACCAGTATCTGCCACTGCCAGTATCTGGGGTGCCGCTTACTACCTACCCCAGCGGAGGGCTGGCTGGCAAATAGGCTGGAACTCCAAAGCAAGGGTAAACCCTGCTGAGTCCAGCAGTTACACTGTGCTCCATAACCACTGGGACAATTTACCGAGGGTCGTGGTGGCTTCTCCATCCCTGACTATTTCTAAATGAAGATCAGATCGTTCTTCTAAAAGCTCTGCTCTAGGGATGATTGTGGGTCAGGTCTCTGGCCTGTGTTGTACAGGGGGGTCAGACTAGATGTTCCCAGTGGGCCTTTTTGGCCTTGGACTTGATGAATCCATGCCTAAGCAATCCCCATGACCATGAAGAGGGCAGGGAGGGATCATGGATCAGCTTTAGAGGCATTGTGGCCTAGAGGACAGAGCACTGGACTGGGAATCGGGAGTTCTGGAGTCAATTGTCAGCTCTGCTGGGTGACCTTTGGCAGGTCACTTCCCTTTTCTGGGTCTCAGTTTCCCCTTCTGTGAAATGGAGGTAAAGAGATCACCCACATTCGTAAAGTGCTCGGAGACCTACAGATGAAGAGTACTATATAAGTTCTATGTACTAGCATTTAGTATTTATCCCCACCACAGAGCCTCCACTACTCAGAGCACAGGCGAGCGGAGATCAGACCCAAATATCTCTGGGAACAACCCGGCTGCCTGGCACTGCCGGCCAAGGCGGAGACACAAATGTCACACCCTCCTGATGCAGTGACCCCCACCTAACAGGATCAAGGCTGAAAGGGGGCAACATTACAGACATTACATGAAGGGCACAATGCAGCCCTGGTGCACATACCCTGGGGAAACCCGACCCAACCCACAGAGCACACAGCCCTGGGGGACGTGTACCTCCCTGCTAAAGGGCTTTCTCTGATATGTGCACCCTGCAGATAAAGACAGGCCCTGGGAGCTCAGTGGTCTGCAGTGTGCATTCTATTAATCTAGCATTAATGGTGGGGCAGGTTAAACTATGCAATGAATCTCCCAGGTGCTCAGACAGCATGGGGGAGTTGGGTGGGAGGATCAGAGCTGAAAGGGAAGAGCTTGTTCCCCACCATCTCTCATTGGTTTCCCTACACAGGATTCCCAGGGGATCCCACACACAGGATTCCCCTTCACAGGCTAACCCACCTACGGGGGGTGCAGTTACCTCTGTCACTGCGGCATAAAGTAACACACTGTGCAGAGCTTCCATGAACCTGGCGGAGATCACAACCCTCCAAAGCTTGGCTCTTTTGCAGCCCGTTTTGTCGCTAGTACGTCCCCTCCCCACCCATCACACACTCACCCGTTTATGGACTAGGTGAAAGAGGAAGAAATAAATCTCTGAACAAGGACGTGCCAAAGAATAAAAAAAAAAAAGGGGTGTGTGTGTCATTTTCTGCTTCTTTATGAAGGAGAACGAAAGGGCCCCAAAGTGTTGTCCTGTTTCCCCACCACCACCCCCGCCCGCCACTTGTATTTTAATGAGCAATCCAGCCTGGCAGACTCCAGCTGACCGGAAAACTAGCAGGATCCTGAGACCAAGGAAGAGGGACACGGTTAGCGGAGAGAGGAAGGGATTGGGTTGGGGGAGGGGGTTGCGAACTTTCATTTAACTCAAATGCTGGGGAGAAAAACTTCTTTCTTGGCAACATGAATCCCGACTGCCTTGATTAAGGGCTGGGAAAGTGGCCAGGCTGCTTCGCTACCATATATCCCCCCCCAACCCCCCCAGCCAGGGAAGGCAGGAGGTGACAGGCTGGAGAAAATAAATGGGGAAAACCCAGAAAAAAAACTAACCACAACTTTTTTTATTGAGCGGGGGTGGGGCCGGAGGGTGGGGGAAGAGAGAGAGAGCACAAGCAAGCTCAGGTCATCATGTAACGAAAGCAAGCAAGGGTTTCCCTTCGCAGGCTACCCCATGGAGGGCTCGAGATGGAGGGACATCTGCTGTCCTCTCCTGCCTCACTTGAACACCCAGCCCTGCTTCTCGGGGTGGCATCTAGGAGTGGAAGCAGAGCTGGGTGGCTGGGTACAGTGAGACAGCCTTCTCTAGAAACAGCTGAACAAGCAACAGGAAAGGTTGTGGAGGAAGAGGAGATGGTGAAACCACAGAAAAGCAGAAGTTAAGAGTGACCACAGCCTGTGAGCAGCCCTCAGCTGGATGGATTCCTTCAGCATTACCAGCAGACATGGGGGAGAAGGAAAAACCATCCAGGACACACTACAGTGCTTCTGATGCTACCGGACGGTAAGTCTCTGCGCTCAGCACACTGCCTGAAATCAGTGGTTTGAGCATTGGCCTGCTAAACCCAGGGTTGTGAGTTCAATCCTTGAGGGGGCCATTTAGGGATCTGGGGCAAAAACTGGCGACTGGTCCTGCTTTGAGCAGGGGGTTGGACTAGATGACTTCCTGAGGTCCCTTCCAACCCTGATAGTCTATGATTAACCAGGAACGTGGCTGGCAGATGGGTAGAAGCTGGTGCATTTTGGAACAGGACTAGACAATCTTGAGGAGTGAGTGCCTTTTAAAAAATAGGCAGCAAGGCAGGGTGACCAGATGTCCCGATTTTATAGGGACAGTCCCGATTTTAGGGTCTTTTTCTTATATAGGCTCCTATTACCCCCCACCCTCTGTTCCGATTTTTTCGCACTTGCTGTCAGGTCACCCTACAGCAAGGTCAGTGACTAGAGAGCTCTCCTACAGCAGCTCCTCTAGAAAGGGTCAGGGAAATGCTGTCCACTGCTCCATTAAACAAGATCCACTGAAAATGCAATGTTAACAGAGAAAACCAAACCTCGCCGTTTAACAGGGGGTGAAATGACTTCATTGCACTTAAAACCAAGAGTGTTCTGAAGTTCGGTGTGCATCCTGTAAAAGCAATAAGAGGACGGATGGCACGTAGGAATGGGAGAAATTCACCCGGCTTTTGAGAGACGTACTGCGAAAAGTAATTGTTCTAACCATAAAAAGAACAGGAGGACTTGTGGCACCTTAGAGACTAACCCATTTATTTGAGCATGAGCTTTCGTGAGCTACAGCATCCGATGAATGCATCCGATGAAGTGAGCTGTAGCTCACAAAAGCTTATGCTCAAATAAATGGGTTAGTCTCTAAGGTGCCACAAGTCCTCCTGTTCTTTTTGCGAATACAGACTAACACGGCTGCTACTCTGAAACCTGTTCTAACCATAGTTGTTGTATCCTTGGGGGCAGCAATTTTAGGAAGAAATCAAGAGCTGTGAGCCATGAAAGCAGCCATTTATTTTCACCACTGAACTAACCAAACCAGCCAAAACTGGCTGGGCTATCCCCTAATAATCTAACTCAGTTGCCATAACAATAACAAGGCACTATTACCACAACAACCAAATACACCACCATAGTGACGAGTTAGTGAGGTTAGTTTGCACTAGACATCTCGGCCCCATTCCCAGCAGACGGCTCCAGACCCAGGGGTTAACCTTCCTTCCTCTCCAATTCCAATCTCGGTGTGCCAAAATGGGAACCTCAGGCCAGCTTGCAATTCCTCTCTACCTGTGTAAGTAGCATTCTGGGTAAGGGATTGGTCCGCTAAGAGGGGGGTGAAAATAGCCTAGCAGGGCAATCCACGTGGAATGGTCTCCCAAAGGGAATGCTGGTGCTTTTTATTGAAGATTTAACTTAATATAGCTCTGGAGTCCGGCCTATAGGGAGTGGAGCGTGGATTAGTTGTCACCTAACATTAGCTCTCTGTATATTCCACAAAGAGGATTCAAGGAAGCAGAGATTTCCCATCTCTTCGGGTATGTGAGTTTTTCTGTAACTAAATCCCAGCTGCTGTATTGTCTAGAGACTGGAGAGGAAGAAAAGGAGGGACCTGTCAATGAAAAGTGACTCAGAAGTAGCCTTTCTCCGGAGGTCTGGGGAAGAACATGAAACTGACTAAAGGATTATTTTGTAAATCAGCATTTAAGCAGATCAGCTAGGCAACAAAGGTAAAACAGTCATAAGCCCCTAAGTGGTTTAGGAGCCTAAGTTTCATTGACAGTGAAATTAGGCTTCTAAGTCACCAAGGGACTTTTGAAAATTTTACCCACCGAAGCCCGATTCTCCAAGACACTCTGCACGTTGGGTGCACATTGGGGGCTGAGCTATTTTTTAAAAATTGGGCCCATAGTTTGAGTGCTGAGCATTTGGAAATCCAGCTCTGAGCTCTTTGGAAAAACTCGATCTGTCAAACGATTGAACAGGCTGGCGGCTCCAGCTGGGGGGTTGGGGGGAGACTGAACTGTCTCCCAGGCTTTGTTAAACTAAATGTTGGCACAAACACGGAAACCCACTCGGGCACCGCCAACCTGCGGGGAATCACAGCACAGGCACTTACGGCTGCGGCCTTTAGTTCCAGTCCAGCTTTTGTTGTTTTATTGCTGTTATCCCAGGAGACTTGGAGCATGTGTTTGTTATGGAATGGACCCTGGAGCGCAGGATGGGAGCCCAGAGGGGGCTCTGTAAAGCTCAGTAAATCAAAGCTGTGCTTAATTTTCAAAGATTCTGAATTCTAAGGGCTTGTCTACACACAAAAATTGTATCCCTTTAGCTACACCCGTGCAGGAAAATGCTCTACAGGAAGGAGAACATGCCAGATTGTATAAAGGCACCTTTATACCAGTATAGTACCTCCAGAGTAGGGACAGCTCTTACTGACAGTTATACCTGGACACAAACTCAGCGTAGATCAGGCCTTGGTCAATCCTCCTTTGCAACGCTGCTTGTGTTGTCAGCTACATCCGTGCAAAGTGCTCCCATTCTGATCTGGCAGTATTTGGCACCCACTTTGTATTGATGTAAGCGACCACACAAGGTGTGGAAGCAACACAATTGGGCCCTACATGTCTGTGTTTTACCCCTCGTCTATATACACACATACAAAATCTACAGTAAAATCATGACAGGTTTCAGAGGAACAGCCGTGTTAATCTGTATTTGCAAAAAGAAAAGGAGTACTTGTGGCACCTTAGAGACTAACCAATTTATTTGAGCATGAGCTTTCGTGAGCTACAGCTGAGCTGTAGCTCACGAAAGCTCATGCTCAAATAAATTGGTTAGTCTCTAAGGTGCCACAAGTACTCCTTTTCTTTTAGTAAAATCATGTTACTAAGGTTGCAAAGTCAAGTCCTCTCAAGTTAGTAAATGCCAAGATTAAGTTGCTTGCTCAACCTTCATTTGCCCTGTCCTCTTGTGCATATGTATTATGATACAGTCTTTAATTATATGATCAAATGCTATTTTTTCCACAAGCCCCTGGCCTCTTTCAGTGCACAAGATGGATGGCATTCAATAAACGAGCACCTAGTCTGTATTTTCTTTGCTCCTTGTTGTTCAACGTGTGGCCCCAGAGCTTAGTTATTACACACTATTCAAACCTTGCTCTGAAGACACAATTATTAATTTCCTCCTGGGTTTCCTGTGGCTCTCCTCACTGGAGAACCTGGCTACTTTACAAACGTTAATCAATTTATTTTCACCACTGTGAGATGAGGGGCAGTATTTGCCCCATTTTATAGATGGGGAGCTAAGACACAGAGAGATTAAAGGTTAAAAGTATTCACTAATTTTGGGTGCCCAATTTGAGATGCCTTGCTCCTTATTCTTCAGAGTACTGAGCGCTCTATAGCATTTTATATGTCCAAAGTGCAGCTCCCAGTGACTGGAGTTGCAACTATCAGTGCTCAGCACTTCTGCAAATCAGCCCTGAGGGTCTCACATTGGGCAGTCAGCAAATGAGCAAACACATAGTTAGTGACCACCTGTGAAGAGTTTCATGTAAGTGATTTGCCCATCCTCACACAGGAGCTCTGTGGCACACGGTTGGATAGAATCCAGCTCTCCAGTGCAGCGTTAAACTGCCTTAGTCATCAGACTGTCCTTTCTTTGCCTGCAATCCCTTGCCTTATCCACTACACACCTTCCAACTTCTGCAACTAGCGACGCATAGGGATCCTACAGACAATGTTCTCTAGGACACAATGCAGATTCATCCCCAGCGCAGGTTCATCCTGCGCACTGAAGGAGGCTGGGGCCTTGTGGAAGAAACAGTATGTAATTAAAGACTGTCTCATAATGCACACACACAAGGGGGATGAATTAAGGTTGAACAGGCAGTTTCACTCAACAATAGGTCAAAGCGCACTATGGAACTTTTAGTGCACTGTAGCAGGGTCCACATGGACAATGCGTGGCAAGCTGGTGCCCGGTAGATGTACACCCACGCTTGTCACAGATTAAGCCTCCATATAGACAAGCCCTCAGTTCATAGAATCATAGAATATCAGGGTTGGAAGGGACCTCAGGAGGTCATCTAGTCCAACCCCCTGCTCAAAGTTAATTGATCTTGCTGCCTGAAACGTATTTATTTGTATTTAAAGTAGTACAGGAATGAGTATTCTCTGGTAATGGCCTTAAAAGGCAGCAGGAGACGCAGGTTCTGTTTCCAGCTCTTCTAATGATTCTCTGCATGACTATGGACAAGTTGCTTCCTCTGCCTCAGTTTTCCCCTCTATAATACTGGGATAACAACACTTCCCCCCTCCACCATCTGTAAAGTGTTTAGAGATAGACAGTGGGATCTGCATGCTCCTGTGGGACTGTATGTGAATGGGGTAGACAGTATTACTATCCAGTGCAGCCTGGGCAGTGCTGGGGCTGGTGTGTGCAGAATGAACCAGAGATGACATTAAATAACCTGAACCACAGCTCCAAATGCATAAAGAACAGACATACTGGGTCAGACCAATGGTCCATCTAGCCCAGTGTCCTGTCGTCTGACAGTCGCTGGTGCCAGATGCTTCAGAGGGAATGAACAGAACAGGACAATTATGGAGTGATCCATCCCGTCGCCCATTCCCAGCTTCTGGCAGTCAGGGTAGGGACACCCAGAGCCCTGGGTAGCCAAAGATGGTCAGGGATGCAAATAGCTATTGATGGACCTATCCTCCATGAACTTACCTAGTTCTTTTTTTTTTAAAACCTGTTATATTTTTGGTCTTCACAACATCCCCTGGCAACAGGGTGACTGTTTGTTGTGCAAATACTTCCTTTTGTTGGTTTTAAATCTGCTGCCTGCTCATTTAATTGAGTGACCCTGGCTCCTGTATTATGTGGAGGCGTAAATAACATTTATCTAGCCCCTTTTCCCACATCAGCCATGACTTTAGAGACCTCTCAGAGCCCCCCTCACATTTTCACAAGTGCTCTCTGATTTTGGATGCTCATCTTGACACACCAGGGCCTGATATTTAGAGGCGCAGCGTGCCCTCAGCTCCCCCTGGAAAGCAGCACTCGAGCTCAGCCTGGGTGAGCCTGAGCTCAAGATGGACTCCCAAGATCAGTGGCCACTTGTGATACGTTCATAGATTCAACCGGCAGAAGGGTTGACTATGATCATCCAGACTGACCTTCTGTCCAACACAGGCCAGAGATCGCCCCCAGCACAACTCCTTTGGAGCTAACATAGATCCTTAAAAAACAAATGACTAGAGATGGAGAATCCCCCACAACACTGAATAAATTGTTCCAATGGTTAATTACCCTCACTGTTAAAAATGTACACCTTATTTCCCATCTGACTGTGCCTAGCCTTGGCCATTGTGCTTTCTGGCAGCTGGGTGACCAGACGTCCCGTTTTTAAAGGGACAGTCCCATATCTAAGCCCTCCTGCAAGTGTCCTGACTTTTTCTTAAAAACAGGCAAATTGCCCCGTATTTTCTGTCTGGCGGGGCCTGCTGCTGGCTGGATCCCTGCTCGCCAGCTGCCTGCCCATCAGCAGTGAGTTGGGGGGTTCAGTGGCTGATGATGGGGGTGGGTGTGCAAGGCTGGAGGTGGGATAAAGATGCAGCGCGTGGGGCGGCCACTCCCCCTGTTGGTCCATCAGCACAGTCCCCGCTGCGTGCCGGCTGTCGGCCACCAGGTCCCCAACCCCCGTCCGGACGGCGGTGGCTGGTGTGCGCAGGCAAGTGCCAGGCAGAGGCCGGTTACGTGTCACCTCTGCTGCCCACCCATCAGTGCTTTACGTGCTCCCCCTCTCGCCGTCCTCTCCCTGTTTTGCCCCTTCACCAGCTGCTCCTCCCCATCCCCAGCTGCTCCTCCAAATCCCCCCCTGGCAGGGCGTGTCCTGCTCCCAGTGCTGTGCGGAGAACCAGCCCCTGGTCGGAGTACTCAGCTCACCAGCAGCCTGACCGGCGGCTCCTTCCTTTCCCTGCTGCCTGTAGCTGGGCCGGCCCCCTGGGAGAGCCCAAGACCCTCCAGCCTTGGGCACTGGCCAGGAGGAGCAGAGCCAGGCATGTGCCAAAGCCCCACACAGCACTGGCAGGGGGAAGCTGATGAGGTTCAATAAGGATAAGTGCAGGGTCCTGCACTTAGGACGGAAGAACCCAATGCACAGCTACAGACTAGGGACCGAATGGCTAGGCAGCAGTTCTGCGGAAAAGGACCTAGGGGTGACAGTGGACGAGAAGCTGGATATGAGTCAGCAGTGTGCCCTTGTTGCCAAGAAGGCCAATGGCATTTTGGGATGTATAAGTAGGGGCATAGCGAGCAGATCGAGGGACGTGATCGTTCCCCTCTATTCGACATTGGTGAGGCCTCATCTGGAGTACTGTGTCCAGTTTTGGGCCCCACACTACAAGAAGGATGTGGATAAATTGGAGAGAGTCCAGCGAAGGGCAACAAAAATGATTAGGGGTCTGGAACACATGACTTATGAGGAGAGGCTGAGGGAGCTGGGATTGTTTAGTCTGCAGAAGAGAAGAATGAGGGGGGATTTGATAGCTGCTTTCAACTACCTGAAAGGGGGTTCCAAAGAGGATGGCTCTAGACTGTTCTCAATGGTAGCAGATGACAGAACGAGGAGTAATGGTCTCAAGTTGCAGTGGGGGAGGTTTAGATTGGATATTAGGAAAAACTTTTTCACTAGGAGGGTGGTGAAACACTGGAATGCGTTACCTAGGGAGGTGGTAGAATCTCCTTCCTTAGAGGTTTTTAAGGTCAGGCTTGACAAAGCCCTGGCTGGGATGATTTAACTGGGAATTGGTCCTGCTTCGAGCAGGGGGTTGGACTAGATGACCTTCTGGGGTCCCTTCCAACCCTGATATTCTATGATTCTATGATTCTAAGCCTCTCCGCCCCTCAGCTAAGCTCTTGAGTGGCGGGGGGCAGCGATTTCCAACCCGTTCATACCCCGAACCTGAAGGCTCCACAGTAGCCTTCCCCACCCGCCAGGCAGGGGCTTAGCATCCTCTTTACCTGTCCCTCACCCCCGCCTTCCAGCCCCCCCCCTCCCCTGCCGGTCCTGGCCCCAAGTAGCACAGGGCTTCTCCATCCCCTAAGCACCCTCCTCTGCTGAGCCACCTCTCTGGCCCGGTTCGCTGAAGCCCCTGCAGTCAGGTTCCCTGGGCCCTGATGCATCCTTAGGGCTTAACCCCTTCCTGCCCGCACTGTAGGCGGCTGGGTTGTCCGTGGCTTGCAGCGGCCTGCAGGTGTTAGCTGCCTTTCAACACTGTGGGGGCAGGAAGGGACAAGCTGCTTCCACTTCCAGCTGTGGGGGAGGGAAAGTGGGGGGAGCAAAGACACAGGCCAGGGCATTCCTCCCCCACGGCTGGAAGCAGCTCCCGTCCCTTCCCTCCCGCACAGTGCCTAGAGGCTGCTGCTGGCCACATTCTGGTGTGAACCCTGGCAGAAATCGGGGGTGGGGGAGCACATGTGACCCTGCATCTCCATCCCCAACCCGCACACATGCATGTTGCCTTGGGAAGATGTGGCGCCAGGTACCAGGAGAGGCGGGTCCATCCCGGGGGCCCAGCCAGGCATGGATGGTGGAGAGCACCAGGCAGGGACGAGAGGGTTGGGCCAGTCGGTCACCCCTCCCCCTGCCCCCCATGTGAGAGAGGTATACCGGAGTGTATGTGTGTCACTTCTCCCTGTGAACCCTAAAGCCTTTGTCATAACCATAAGGGTAGCCTAAAATTCCTCCTTACCTGTAAGGGGTTAAGAAGCTCAAATAGCCTGGTTGGCATCTGACCAAAGGAACCAATGGGGACAAAAGATACTTTCAAATCTGGTGGGGGGAGAGGCTTTATATTGGGTTTTTTGTTTCTGTGTTCATTCTCTCTTAGGACTAAGAGGGACCGGACATCAATCCAGGTCCTCCAAACCCTTCTAAGCCAGTCTCTCATATTACACAAATTGTAAGTACAGCCAGGCAAGGCATATTAGTTTATCTTTGTTTTCTCAACTTGTGAATTTTCCGTTTGATGGAGGGAGGTTTATCCCTGTTTTGTTGTAACTTTGAAACTAAGACTAGAGGGGGTTCCCCTGTGTTTTGTTCATCTTTTGTTACCATGTACAGTTATCTTCCAACCTGATTTTACAGAGGGGATTTTTACCTTCTCTTTTTTTTTAAATAAAATTCTTCTTTTAAGAACTGATTGATTTTTTTTTTCAGTGTCCAAAGACCCAGGGGTTTGGGTCTGTGATCACTTTGTAACCAATTGGTTCGGAGATTATTCTCAAGCCTCCCCAGGAAAGGGAGTGGAAGGGCTTGGGGGGATATTTTGGGGGAACAGGAACTCCAACTGGTCCTTTCCCTGATTCTTTGTCTAAATCACTTGGTGGTGGCAGCGTACTGTTCAAGGACAAGGTGGAATTTGTGCCTTGGGAAAGTAAGCTTCAGGGGTCTTGCATGCGGGTCGCCACATCTGTACCCTAGAGTTCAGAGTGGGGAAGGAGCCCTGGCAGCCTTAAAGATAAGAAGGTAAATAAAAATAATCCAGCTACGCAGGGTTTCTTTTTAACAGGGGCTCAGTCAACTTAATGTTAATTTGAACGATGGTGCTGCATAGCTCTGATTGATTGCTATCGAACTCGCCTGAATAAGAGTAATTTTACCAGGTGTCCTGTATTCAGCATAGGGAAACATGGTCACCCTAGGCAGGTCGATCTCTGGAGACCTATGGAATCGGACCAGCTGGTGTGTTTGTGAGCATCCAGCTGCTAGGGGCTCTCAAGCCAGGGCTGTTGAGGCAGGGCTCTGAGCTTTGCAGCTGGAAATAAACTGCAGAGGCCCCGCTTCTGCAAAAACACACCTCTCAGGGGTATCACGGTTATAACCACCATAAATAAGTACAAACCTTCCAGCATGTGACCACATCCCCTTCATGCTGTTTAAACCCTTTAGCAGAATGAAAATAGAGCCATCTATATACACACTGCAGCTCTCCTAGGGCTCAAGCTTCTTGTCCCGGCTGCTAAATAGCAACCCCTCCCCCAGGCATTGACCAGTTTCTTCCTAAGGGTCCGAGACTGGCTAGTCTCAGCTGCACCAGATTCCGCTCCAGCTAGGAAGTGCTTCCCTCATCCAACTCTGCAGCCCTCTGCTGAAATTTAATCCCCAAAACCTAATACAAGGTATTCCCTCTGAGCAGCACTGGGGTGGGACAGCTTATGGCAGGAGGGTCGAATCCAAGGGGCAGCAAGAGTCCTGTAAACCCCGTCACACAGATCAGTGACCACGTTCTGTAAAGATCATGGACCTTAGCCATGCTAGTGATATCAGCTCTTCTCCTTTCCTTCCATCTGCTAGTTCCCTGCGTCCCCTTGAATTTCCTCCCAACCCACCAAGATGCTCAGACACATGCCCCCTGAAAAGAGGAGGCTGCAGAAGGTGCATTGTTATATGCTGGAGCAGGCTGATTTTTACTGTCCCTCTTCTCCATTCCAGGGGCTGGACTCAACATTGTTCATGAAGCAGGAATTCTGCCAAGAACCCAACCCACCCAGCGGCTCAGCAGTGCAGGTGCAATGTAAGCTGCTGCTGAAGATGCGAACTTGCTCCTTACCTATGTTGAAGGCCTTGGCCAGTGCAATAATATTTGCAGTCATTCTCTGGAACCTGAATTTCCTTGGCTACCAATCTGAGGTTCCTGGCCCAACCCTGGGGCACAGCGAACCCCTGACAGTCCTGATCTGGCACTGGCCTTTCCACCACACACTGAACCTCAGCACTGACGTTTGCGCAGACCGCTACAAGATCAAGGGCTGCCAGCTGACGGGGGACCACAGATTCTTTAACCAGGCAGATGTTGTGGTGTTCCATCATCGGGAGCTGCAACAGGGCAAGGTAAGACTCCCAACAGAAAGGAGGCCTCCTGGACAAAACTGGGTGTGGGTTACCCTGGAGTCCCCCACCAACACTAAGGCACTGACTGGCTGGAACCAAACCTTCAACTGGGTCATGACATACAGACAAGACTCGGACATCTTCATGCCATATGGGGAGCTTGTGCGCCATCCATCAGCCAGTGTGGACATTCCAACCAAAACTGGCTTGGTGTCCTGGGTCATTAGTAACTACCACCGGACTCAGAAGAGAGTGCAGGTCTACAGAGAGCTGTCCAGACATCTCCAAGTGAACATATATGGGAAAGCAAACAAGAAGCCACTGTGCCCAGACTGCCTCTTGCCGACCACCTCCAGGTACAAGTTCTACCTGGCCTTTGAGAACTCCATCCACAAGGACTACATCACTGAGAAGCTGTGGAGGAATGCGCTGCTGGCCAGCACAGTGCCGGTGGTACTGGGGCCCCCCCGAGCCAACTACGAGAAGTTCATCCCCGCAGACTCATTCATCCACACCGAGGACTTCAGCTCCATGAAGGAGCTGGCCAGCTTCTTGAAGACCATGAATTCCAGCCGTTACAGGGCATTCTTCGAGTGGAGGAAGAGGTATAGGGTGAAGCTCTACACAGACTGGCAAGAACGGTTCTGCACCATCTGCACCAGGTACCCCCGCCTGGCCCAGGGGCAAATCTACCCTGACCTGGCGAGCTGGTTCAGTGCTTGAGAAGATGGGGCTGGACCAAGCTGAGGCTTTTCAGAGATGTGTGACTTGTACAGAGAAGCCAGGCCGTCTGCATCAGCGGAAAAGGATGTCCGTGAGGGCTGGCTCGTTTTGAGTCAAGTGGCTGGTGGGGTGACTGAGGGCACTGAGCAGGACCTGGGTCTGGGAGCCAGGAGCTCTGAGTACCAGTCCCAGCTCTGACACAGACGTGGCGAGACCTGGTGCATGTTGCTGGTACTCAGCTTCCCCATCTATAAAGGCTCGTACACTTATCTACCTCACAGGGGTGTTGTGAGGACTAACCGGTGCCTTGGAAATAGACGGTGCTAAGTGAGGATCGTTGAGTCTGCAGTTCAGCAGGTGGGCAGGTTCTGCACTGGCAAGGGCAGGCCAGTGAGCGTTGCTGGGCTGGGAAATTAGGATTTGCCAGCCCTTGTTTAGGGAATGCCAAAGAAATGGCTAGTTGCTCCCCTTTGCCCTCTCAGGAATAAATGGGGCAGAGGAGCGAGGTCAGGGGGGAGGGGTAAATGTGACCCCCTGCTCTGCATTACTGTATTGCAGTGCTAGGGTGGGGCAGATGGGGAGGGGCACCAGCAAGATCAATGAACTCTCTCTGGGGTTCAAATACCCTTCAGATGCCAGCCAGACCTTGAGCGGCAGAAGGAAGGCCAGTCTCATAGAATATCAGGGTTGGAAGGGACCTCAGGAGATCATCTAGTCCAACCCTCTGCTCAAAACAGGACCAATCCCCAAATTTTTGCCCCAGATCCCTAAATGGCCCCCTCAAGGATTGAACTCACAAGCTTGGGTTTAGCAGGCCAATGCTCCAGCCACTGAGCTATCCCTCCCCCCAGTCTCTTCCTTGCACTCTCCTCTCTGGGAGGTGCTCAGATGCCCCCCCCCCAAGTAACAGGCACCCATGTAAGAAACTGGATCGATAGAAGAGGAAGGGGCTCCAATTTGTCTGTCCCTGCTGTGTGGTCCATTTCCTCCACGTGCTGGAGCCCCTGCCATTCAGGCAGTGGCAAGAGCAAAGGCGCCAGTCCGAAAGAGGTTTCCTGTCTTGCTTCTGCTTAGTCAGTCCCCGGTGCACTGCTTGGGGGGGCACCCACTGAGCTGGGGTGGTGGGTGCTGACAAGGCACAATGCTTTCTCAAGAGCAATCACAGCCCGTTCAGTGCTGGGGACGAGTCATAGGGGGATGGCTGTGGTTTCTCACTCCTTTCTCGTATTCTTCGTATCTCTGGCAGGAAGCCGTTGAGTCTGGTTTCGCTCTGATGTGAGGCTCCCTGCAGCAGGTACTGCCTGCCCAAGCCCTGTATGCACCCAGGGAAGGAGTCACTTTATGGGAGGTGTCATGTAAAGGAGCCGCAAGCAGCAGATGCCCCCAGGCAACGAGTATAGCCCCTACTCGCCCCAACCTCCCGCCCAGGGGTCAGCTTTGGTTAGTTTAGTACAATAGTAGGGTTACCAGATAGCAACTGTGAAAAAACAGGACGGGGTAGGGGTAATAGGCGCCCATATAAGAAAAAGTCCCAAAAAATGGGACTGCCCCTTTAATAACGGGACAGATGGTCACCCTAGACAACAGGAAAAATATGGCTGAGATTTTCAAAGCCGCCTGATTTGAATACTCCGTTCCCATTATGTTTCCACACGCCCCTGCCTCAGTCGGCGCACAGGACGGATGGCGCTCAGCAAACGAGCAGCTACTCAGCGTTGCATTTTACCCTCATTCAGCATGAGGTCTGGTGTGATACTTTCAATGGAATAAAAGGGCCCAGAGAGGCAAAGGTGTCAACCAGACTCTGTCCCTGCACAACACTAGACCGGTAAACACAGTTTGGGTTTGAGTACACAGACGCATGGCAACAGACACCACTAAAAGCACCTTCTATTTAAGATAGAGCAAAAGGAAAACCAGTTAAAGCCTTGGAAATGTGAAGTACTCAGTAAGGCTTTCATTGCAGGACTAGCCAGAAGGTTCTCAAACTTTTCGTGCTGTGACCCCCTTTGAAAATATTTCAGGCTGTGACAACCCTCCACCCCAAAAAGTGATGAGCCCTCCACCATCCCATGCCGCCCTTATTTCTGCACTGCTGTGACAGCAAAGCTGCGGTCAGAGCTGGGCGTGCGGCCAGCCGCAGCCACTCTCACAACCCCGCAACAACAGTCTTGCAACCCCCTGTTGGGTCAGGACCCCCACTTTGAGAAACTCTGTTTGTGGAGCATTTTCACCAGGCAACTCCCTCCTCCCCCGGGCTGACAGTTTTGGAGACGGGATTTAAGATGGTAATTTACGCTCCTCTTTGGGGGGGAAAAAGAAGTTAGTGGAGATAGGCAGGCGCTGCTGGTGGTAAAGTTTGATTCCGCCTCCTTTAAGGAAAAACAAAACAAACACACACAGCAAAGGGACAGGGCAGAAAAGAACAGCAAAGACAGAAAACGCAGCTTCTCCGGTGCCAACTCTCACTTGCAAACTCACGGCTGGAGAAACACAGGCCCAGTACTATCTTTCTGCCACTCCAAGCCCCAGCACGCTGGTACCAGCGGCAGGCTGGTTAGGGCATTGCTTTCAGCTGCCTCTCAGGTCACGGGCTCACAGCAGTTTGCAAAAGAGACAGCCTCAGCCCCACCAAGTTGGACTTATTAAACAGCAGGCAACAAGGAGAGTGCTAGGACAGAGAGGTAATAAGGTGAGGAAGGAAAGGGACACAAGGGAGGGGCTGCTAATGGGAACCCAAGTCTTAACTTTCAGGTGGCATTTGTCAGGACAGCCTTGGGGCTGGCTGAGGCGGACACAGGCCGGGGCAGGCTGGCAGAACTGGCTGGCAGTTTAACACTTTAACACAGTCCGCAAGTGGGATCAGGGGAGCTTTCATTTGGACTAAACCACTTTTTGTCTTATCTTCTGCTGTCTTTTATATGCAATTTTGTGTAACAGGCTGAGTTGGACTTTTGCTGGCTTGGGCGGCTTAGAGCAGGATGGAGGGCTTCGCAACAGGCCACAGGCCTTATTTCCTGCACACTCTTCAAACCCTGCTCTGAAGACAGAATTATTACATTTCCTTAGGGGCTTTTCTAAGGCTCCCATGGCAAAAGCACAGTGCTTCACAGACATTAGTGCATTTCCCTTCCCAAGGCTCCTGTTAGGGGAGGGAGCTGTTGCCTGAACTGAGGCACAATGAGAGGTGATGGTCAGAAGTTTCTACTAATTTGGGTGCCCAAGCTGAGACACCTGGGGCCTGGCTTTTCGGCATATTTAGCACTTCTATAGCACTTCAGATGGGCAAAGCACAGCTCCTGGTGACTTCAGCTGCCACTGAGCGGGGTCAGCACTTCTGCAGTCGCACCCCAGGGTCTCGAGGCAGGCATCCGGAAAATGAGCAACAAACAATTAGTCACCACCTGTGAAAAGTTTTGTGGCACTGACTTGCTCAACGTCACACAGAGCCTTTGTGGCAGAGAAAGGGATGGAATCCAGTGTTCCAGGCCGGCGATCAGCTGCCTTATGCATGAGACCATCCTTTCTCTCCCTGCAATGCCCTGTCTGATTCTCTACATGCTGTCCAATTTCTGCAACAAATGAGAAAGGGCTCCTAGGTCCAACAGTCTCCTTCATCCGCAGAGGAGCACCCATCTTGTGCACTGAATGAGGCAGAGGTCCTGTGGAAAAATAATGTGTGAGGAAGTCATTCAGGACGGTCTCAGAATGCCTGTGTACAAGGGAAACGAAGGAAGGTTGCACAAGTAATCTTCACTCCGGCATTTTCTAACTTTTGAGTGCCTGATTTATTTATTTTTTGAATATAGGCAAAGCCATGTATTTTTGTCCCTAATCTCATTCTCAGACAGGGCGGAAACCCTTTTTAAGCTGACAGTTTCCAAAAATATTCATGCTGAAACAGACACCTGGTAAATATCAGCTCAAATGGTTAGCGCTGGGCATAGTTATAAGCAACGAAAACAGGGCCTTAGAATGGAAAGTGTTAGGCACCCCAGAGACAATAGGCAGTGCTACTAGCTCCTCTTATAATATTGCAAAATTGTGTGGGATCCCTCAAACAAATACAGTTCAGTACAGGGACACTATGATCAAACATGGAGACACACTCCTTGGATTTACTGTTGTCTGGGAGGGAGTGGGATCTAGTGTTACAGCAAGAGGCTTGGCATCAAAAATGTTCGCTTGACTTCTGGCACAGGCAGGAAATGTGATCCACTTATGGGCTCTGTGCCTCAATTTCCCTTTGTGTAAAACAGTGACAGCACCAGCCCTATATCCCCAAGTGCTGGGAGGCTGGACTCATTAATGCTTGTAAATGCTCCAAAATGCTCAGATGCAAGTTATATAAACTGGCTAGACCTATATTACTGTGACAGTGATGCTGTAGGGTGGATGCTTCCTACATTGTCAGGGTTTGTTCTGTCAATGGAGTTAATCCAGCCATAGCTGGGTCAGTGGAAGAATTGGTAACTGGGGCTAGAGTGAGCTGTAGCTCACGAAAGCTCATGCTCAAATAAATTGGTTAGTCTCTAAGGTGCCACAAGTCCTCCCTTTCTTTTTGCGAATACAGACTAACACGGCTGTTCCTCTGAAACCACCCTAACACTGTCGCACAGGGCGTGACATTTTTCACCGCTCCGGGCAATGGAGTGAGATCGAGCTAATTTCTAGGTGTAGACCACAGCAGGAGTTTGCCCTTCTAAATTATACCTAAGAAAATGCGGCAGGGGGCGGGGTTTTAGGTATTGTCTGAAGCTTCCCCATAGACCAGCAAGAAGCATATTTCACTGCGATGTTCCATGTCCTCTCACTCTGACCAGCTCGTGGGCTGCTCTAGCCCCTTCGAGTCCATCTACGCTGCAGCTGGGAGGCGCGATTCCCAGCCCGGGTGGGCAGACTGGTGCTGGCTCTGCTCCAGCTGGCGGGCTCAAGATAGCAGGGTGGCTGGCAGCTTGGGCTAGCTCCCTAAGTACGGACCCTGGGGGACTTGGATCTGGGCAGCTGGCTTGAGTAGCTGCCGGTGCAGCCACACTGCTCACTAGCTCAAGCTAGCGCGTGTCTGGCCACCTGTGCTGGGAATCACCACGCCCAGTTGCAGTGTGGGGGCTATAACAGCCTATGAGCCCGTGAGCCTGAGGGGACACGTAACATCACAGGTAAATATACTCTCAGTGCTCCGGGAGGTGACATATGTCTCGAGGGAGGCTGCTGTGCTTATCACAGCAGAGGAGTTTTATTCTTTATCATCGTCTGCCGGGCTTCTCCACTTTCAGGTCACACACAAGGCGTCAGGTGAGACTAAATCAGCCGCCTTTCTTATCACAACCGATACACACCCAGTCTGGGACAGGAATCACACCCTCCACCCCACGGAAGGTTAGTACCATTAAAGCCTGAGCGCTCCCCTCGTGGCCCCATCGAGTGGCCTTTGGGCTGCCGTTGTCACCACCGCTATTGGGGTTGTCTCTCACACCCAGTCAGAATCAGACCTTTGGGTCAGCAGGCAGGCTGCTTTTGCCTTG